AGTGGTTTTGACTAAAGTAAGTTACTTGTAACAAGGCTTAGTAAAATCTCTGAATTATCCTACAGTAAATTCAGATAATGTAATGTAATGTTTAAAGACAACTGTGCAGGATTTAGTGGCATCTAGTGAAGTAGTGATTTTAATACCCCCGCATTGCCCCGCGTCCAAGCGCGCAGGAGAAACAGGTTTTTATAGAGCCAATAAATCCTCCTAAATATTACACCCTGGACCCTTTAACTATTACTTGTATTCAAGAGTTGTTGCAACTTGTCTTTGTAATCAAGTCCAGCCTTGTCGGTTAGGCATATTTACTTACGTTCCTGTCGTGTAGAGAAAAAAGATAGTCTGGTACCCATATGAACTTTAAAACAGATTTTGCTTTGTGTAATTTTCTGTATCTGTAAATTTTCTCCTGTTTATACTGGCCATTGGAAGATCCCTTAACTCTTTGCCCCGACAGTGTTTCCTTACTCAGCTGCAGTGGAGGTACTACAAATACAGTAACTTCTGAAAATAACAACTTCAGACCAATGAACCCTCATATTAGCTTTAGAAAAACAATATAGTATTTATTTTTATGCTGTAACCTTTGCAACAGGTCCAACTTACACTGTAGTTTTGAAAGATGATCTGTGGGGCCTCAACTCTGTTCTTCTTAGCTGCATTTCTAATTATGGCCTCAGCCTCCTCCACTCTTCCCTGAGAGAGCAACCAGCGAGGAGACTCTGGGATGAACCTGCCACAGTATTCACACAGGGACAGATAGGTTACAGACTAAATCAACTTTAGACTGGTAGACTGTAGTCCTAGGCCAGTCTTATTTTTGCTTTTAGAAAGTTTCACAGAAATAAAGATAAAAAGTTAGCCACCTCACCCCGCGGTTTACTTAGAACTAAGAGCTTCCTGACTGCACCCTGACTCTCATGCTCAGTTCTCTCCTGTACTTCCTGTTCACACATGACTGGGTGTGCATTTCCTGGCTACAACCTGCTCTCCTTACCTGCTCTCATCATGCATATACATTTCCTGTTTACATTACAGTTTATTATAACATTAATGTAGAGCTGCCACACTATGATATATTTTTTTTATTATATTTTTTTTCTTTTAACTTTTGCATTATGTTATGTCCTTATGTCTTAGATTTAAATTATTGCCTATGTGATTTTGTTTTTTATACAAATTTTTATGAATATTATTGGAGGGCCCCTGACAACTAAGAATTTAATTGATAATGAATGCTTCACTGTAATTGTGCATATGACAATAAAGACCTTGAAACACATTATCATTATTAGTATCATTATTATTATCATTCAAAAAACTAAATGCTTCTGTAGCTCAGTCTCTATCATGAGTAATGGGTGTCATCTTTAGGTAATACGATGTGATAAGTACAACCCACCACCAGAGAGGGATATAGAGCAGGCCAGGCAGAGCAACAGCCAGCAGCAGAGATTTCCAGTCCCTTAAAAAGTAAGCCATGAGTGGGAGCATCATGTAGCCAACTGCAAAACACAGACACACACCCAGTGATGAAAACAGGACCCGCACATTGCCAGTCAAGATCTCCGTTCCTGCAGAGAGAGAAAAACAAAGACAGGAATATGTATGTAAGTTAAATCAGATAAATTGAATGTAGAGCAAATGTTGTGCCAATAGTTACAGGAAGTCATTATATGCACCCAGCACAAAAGCAGATATGTAGTTGCCGATCTGTCCCAAACCACTGAAAAAGAGGAGGATGGAGAACACCGTCCAAGTAGGGGAGAAGACTTGAGCAAAGGTAAAAATCGTCTGACCTGCCATGGTTGCAAAAAATACAGGCTTCCTTCCATATCTATATTGAGAAGACCAATAATAGGACCAAGTAAGAAAATGATATGTGAGCTGGAACCAAAAA